GTTGTAGACTTACATCCAATGATTATTTCTTGAAAAATTCATCAAAATGCTTTGTGTGGTTCATGAGATATTTTGCTAACAGACAAAGACTGGTGGCAGATGATTTAAAAACAAAAGCTCCCACCCAGAGGAGATCTTTCAGGCACCTTTGTGCATGTGGGGTTCTGCAAACTTTGGAAACTTTGTGTGGCTTTGCTGCTTCCTGCTACCAGTGGTTTTAGCTGTGATAAAACCTAAAACACTCAAAACGAAGGAGCATGTTTTACAGCATGACTCAACCAACATGTTATTCCACACAAACCTAGTGTAGTTTAGGTATTATTATTGCCTCTGCAGCAATGATAGAACATTAAACATTTAACATCCCATTTTAAAACCTCAGTGAGGTTAAATGTTCAACATCTCTGACTTAGAAAATCTGTCATTTATTGCTGCAACATCGAAGAGYTTAAAATAAAATAGTGCCAAAAAGAAGTAACTTTGATCGTGGTTAATTATTGAAGCTAGAGTATTCAGCTTCAAAAGACTCAGAAATAATCAAAATAAATTCCACAAAGAAATGTCATCCCTAGAGTCTCAATCCTGTGTGATTTTTCCTTTTTTTTCCCCCTGTAAACTAGAAAATGACTATTTTCTACAGAGCGTTAGAAACAGAGTGGAAACATTTTTCTTTTTTTTTCTAAATTTTAACTTTCACAATTTTGAGTAAGTAGTTGTTTGAGAAAATGTAAGAATTCTGGGTAAAAACTTAAAATTCAGAGTCAGAAATCTGAGGAAAAATAAATCTAAATTTAGGAGGGAAAAAAATTCTGCTATGGAAGAGGAGGGCCACTGGAAAAAAAAAGAATTCCAATTTTAATCTCGGAATTCTGACTTTTTTTTTTCTAAGCATTTTGAGATTAAAGTCAGAATTCCTTTTTTATTTTTTCAGTGGCCCTAATCTCTTCCATATCTATCCATATGCAAATACACTTAGTAAAAACAGATGAAAAAAACTCTTGTGACCAATATGTGGTGAGCCAAAACAGTTTGTGTCATGTGAAGTTCATAAGATTACCAGATGTTACTGCAGCATGACAGATTTTTCATGTTTTCGTATCTTGTCAATTCTCTGTATAACCCAGTATTGTATTTTTAGATTATTTTTTAATCTTTTTTAACCAGCTAACTTCTGTAGTATGGATACATGCGCAACTTTTTTTTCGCCTTTGCTCTGTTTTTATTTTTATTGACGTGAAATTTTGGGGGTGTCGAATAATTAGTGCATGCATTTCTTAAGCATATTTATTTGTTTTTCACATTTAAAATTTGAATTGTTCAATACTCTATAGTAAGACAACAATTTGATTTTATAGGTTGCCACAAATTAGAAAATATATTTTCTTGATATTTTGAAACAACAACATTTTGGTGCAAAAAAGTAATTCTATTGTCACTGAGAACTGTGCAAATTAAATTATTTTAACATTTTTTGTGTTTTTTATTTACGATTGTATAGACACAAGCGGTTGCTTTATGTCATATGCTATAATACTCCTTTTAAACACTTTCCATAAATACATAAAGTTGTGCTGCCTTTAGTCCATCTGTTACCAGTAATAAGTATAATGTTGAAAACCACATAAAACAGGTACAAGGTTCAATACTTTTATTTTATTTTATTTTATTTTATTTTATTTTATTTTATTTTATTTTATTTTATTTTATTTTATTTTATTGTTTTTGATCCCGTTTAGCTGCAC